CCAAACCCTACTTGGGCTCCAGAAATTTTGGTTCATTTTTTAAAAGATTTTTTGTGATGATTTGAAAAAAATAATCTTATTAAGTTTTTCCAACCACAATTAAAAAGTTATGCTCCATTCAAATTTATACCACTTATGTCTACATTCTCAAATTACAATTAATTCAAATTGCATCCCACAAAATTAGCTCCCACCAAAGAAGTATTCTGGATATTAATATTTTCAAAATTTTAGTTTGTAAGATCAACCTTCATCTAAACTAAAAAATTTAATGAATTTGACCCACATTATATAAAATTGTTATCAATGGCGGCGAGTAGAACTAAAAATTAAAAAAATTGAATGATCTTTTTATTTTGTGATGTTTTTTTAATTAGATCTTCTTTGATTTCTATGTAGATTTCTTCGGAATAATTATATTTATTAAAGTAATGATGTTGTATTAATTTGATAATATTTATTATTTTGTTAAAGCTATTTTTTCCTAGCTAAATCTCCTTAGACATTTTTAGTTATTCTTCTAATAGTTTTTGAGTATCAAGTTTTGAAAGGAATTCTATGCAATCTGAAATTTTTTCTTTTCTCATCTTTTAAATTATCAAACAATATATTTATTCGTCAACATCCAAAACTTAATCGAAAATTTCTGATAGATAGATCTTAAAATTATTCATTAGGCTAATTCATTAGCTTTTTTTTTTTAATTATTGAATTTGTTTTAATTTTACTTTGAAATTCTACTATAAATTAAAAAGTATCTTATTTATTTTTTTCAACGTGAATGACATAATTTGTTAAGATTTTGAATTGGATTTTTTGATTTAAAATTAGCTAGTAGGATATCATATCAGCATTTAAAAGGCTTTTTTCTATAATAATATAGAATAAATAATTTTACTTTGAATAATTTAGTATAAATAGTAAATATATAAAATTTCGAATTCTATAACTGTTAATTTTCATTTGTTTTCTCGTTGATCAAATATTGTAATCAAAAAGAATTGTAGTTTTTCATCTAAATATTAACAAGTAATATATGATTTAAGAAGTTTATTTAATTGATAAAAAATTATCATTTATCAAATTAATAATCACAATCATATATCTGCAAAATGATTATTTGCTCTCAATTATGTAGTCATATTTATAATTATACGCTTTCTTTTTTTCTAGATTTTTGATGGAGCTTTAGATATGAGTCTCACTCAAGCATTTATGTATGCAGCAAATCAATACAAAGTAACGATTGATTAGAATAACTTTACTTCAATAGTCCAATAATTTAAATATGAAGCTGAAGGTATGTAAATTATGGTTAAAAGGTATCTTTGATTAAGTATCGACCCTATACGCAGAAAATTAACATATAGGTTAAATTATGTTTAAGTGTTTTTCTGCTGATTTTCCCTTCCTATTTTTCTTAAAGTATTTTATTCTACATTAATATTATATTATACAGATGACTATAATTTGTTGAAAAGTTATATGTGATTATTGCCATTATTAACATTGTTATTGCCTGACAATTTTGAAAGAAACATTAGTGTATTCTATGCGTAATATTTAAATTAAATAATGTGTTATATATATAAAATTAATAAAGTGAAAGTTTTTCAGTATAGCAATTACCTTATGAGCAATTTAAATTTCTTTCAGGTCCGTCTTACATAATTTGATTCTTTTAGAAGTCTTATGAAATTAAGTGATGTATTGCCAACTTCAAAAAAGCAATTTATTAAATGCGGTTGCTAAAAAGAGAAGAATAGAGATAAAAGGTCTCAATAACTTGAATCCCAGGTTAAATAAACAGCAAAGACCATTCAATTCAGAGACCTTCAGAATTTAGTCTTTTTCAAAGGTTACATAAGTACAATGTTAAATGATCAGAAAAGATTACCACAGGCCACAGATGGGATTCCAAAAGGGATATCATCAAGACATTTTGGATAGAAGAGGGTCCTTGATCGTTCCTGGAAACAACCTCTTTTTTTTTTTTGCTCTTTCTTTTTTGTCCATTAAACCTAATTAATACATTTTGTTCTATTTCTTTTTGGAAATTTGGAGCATTTTTTCTTTCACTTTAAAGAAATACAGAGGTCCTAGTTCTTATCCGTCTAGATTTTTTGAATAAATTAAAAAAAAATAATCATCAGTTGTGATTTAAGTATCATTTATCATTTAAACTATAGTTTCAATTAATTAAAAGAAGTTATTTTATTCAATAAAAATAGCTGTTTATTGAGTATACTAGTTTATAAGCATTTAATAAGTACTTAAAATGACAATAAAATTAAAAGACATAAAAACGGTAATTTTCTCTTTAATTATAAGGAATTAAATATTATAATATATAGTTAATAATCGTTAAAATAACTAAGAATTAAAGACATTGTTTTTATATTTGCATAATAAGTTCATCACACTATGAACTGAAAAATTAATATGGTACCCTAACAATAAATAACCAATTTTTGCATTACAAATAAAAAATGAAGTACTCATTTAGCTAGCTGAAAAAAAAATAAAATTTAGGATTGTTTATTAAAATTTATCTAGGTTCTATATATAGAAAAGAATTATTTGAATAAAAAATTATGAAAACAGGTAATGTTGACTCATTTATTTTATGTTTCTTAAGGATAGTCACAAATAGTAGTTAATATTTATTTCATAACAGAAGTTGAAAATTAGATGGTAATATATCACAATTTAGATTAATTCATAATTTCTTAAAATCAATTGGTAAAAATATCTAAATCAATTCTATATTTGAACAATAATATTCACTTTCCAATTGTTAAAATATTCACCTCTAGAAGAAAGCTGAGCTTTTCAATGTTATTTTTAATATATTTTACATTTTACTTAAAATAATTCTTATTCTGTTATCTCAATAAACATTAATTTAATTCATTATTGAAGTTAAATAATTTCTACCAAAGTATTGATTATGGATAAGTGCTCAATGCAAATTATTTTGATAAACTCGGCTGAAACAATCTATCATTATTATAAAAATAATGATAGAATTATTGGTGAAATTTTTAATAATGTGGCAATGGAAACTGAAAATGTGAAGAATTAATATTTTTATCTATTTAAACTCATACCAATTACATTTTTAATAGATTGTTTTTTGAATAAATTTTATTGATGTAAATTATTATTTTCAATATAGAAGTTTTATCAGCAATATTATATTTTTATTTGAGTTGATAACAATTATTCGCATAAATTTGAATATATATTGAAGAGTTGCATTCTTCTATATTAACAAGCATTTTTCAATGAATAGAAAAATTAGAGGTTTTGTAAAATAAGATTGCTTCAAATAATCGTCACTAATTTTGACAATAGATATTTAACTTCTTCTTATAAATAATTAGTTAAATTGTGATTATGAAAAATTTTCAGATTAAATAAGATGAAATTCTTGTCAAAAACTATCTTTTATAAAGGTAGAATTGGAAATGTTAAATAGATCAATTTCAACAAATATTTAGAGCAGTATAATTATCATTTTATAACAATATTTATGTTTAAGATTTTAAACCAAAAATTCTGGTTTTGCAGAACTCAATTTTAAGGAATTTAACTAAAAATTTAAATTGTGGCTTTATTAATGAAATAACAGAACTCTAAATCACGGCTTTAAATATGCATTTAATCTCTTCCAAATGGTTAGAATGTGAATAGTTATCATATATAAAGCATAATCGACAACCATATTATTCAACCTTTATCTTTTAGATTAACATCCATTTGGAATCCTATTATGATTTTTTTATTATTAATATTATTTAACTGAATTATGTTTTATTAGTAAATAATTGAATAATTAATTTATTAACGTGAAGTTTTATATAATACTTTGTGCTTTTCTTAATCGTTGAAGAACATTTTGATTATTAATTTATAAAAAAAAATTGATTGATTAGTACTAATTTTAAAAGGCAAAATCAGTATTTATAAGAAAAAAATATAATAAATTATAATAGGAAGATGTAAAGATTAGATAACCATGAATACATAGTAGCCATTACTTGTTAAATTATTAATAATATCCATTTAACTTGAGTTTTACACTTTAATTTTGGGTTATATATATAGGTTAGGTATTGATATTTACATACATTTAACTCAGAAATATGTATCAATAAATTTTAAAGATATTTATTTTATTATAAATGATATTTTTATTTGCCCACCTTTTTTTCAAACAATCATATATTATACTATGGTATTATATATAAAATGTTTTTATAAACAATAAGGGGAAATAAAGTGATAAAATTTAAATAAAAAGGAGATTCTAAAACTATATAACTTAATATATAATAATTTTTAAATAGTTTAATTAAATAAAAACTTTGAACGTTTTTGTATGAAAATTATTAATTTATTTAATATCATTACTTAAATCTATTTTAAGAGTTCTATAAAATAAAAATTAACATATCTTCTTTAAATTGCTTATCTTTCTTAAAAAATAGCCAAATCTGGAATATGGTTTTGATATAAAATAGTGTATATGTAAAATAACATTTATATATTAATCCAATAAAAATAATAATACTTTAGGCAATATAAATAACATTTTGTTTCAATTATCTAACGAGATTTAATTAATTTAACAAATTCAATTTTATTTTATATTAATATAAAAATAATATATTATTTTCTGTTTATATTAATGTCTAAAATTCTCCACAAAACACAAATTTAGCACTAGATATATAAGTGTTAATTTGAAGTAATAATTTTATAAATAGTATCCATGAATTACTTTTAGAAGCTTTATGTGATTTAAGAAATTAAAACAACAACAATATCTATTTTACCATAAAATCATACTAAAAGCCGTTTACAGAATCATATAAAATTTAATTCAACTTGATTAATTACTTTCAGATTACCTATCGTAAATAGTAAATATATTTTACATAAGCAATATTATATTGCCGAAAATTTAAAATAATTGTCTTAAATGCCTTAAAAATAAAGAAAAAAATAACTAAATATTTTGGAACTGAATACTAATTCTTATTGTTTGTTACTTATTGAAAGTATTGAAAATAATCCCATAGTTAATATTCTTTTAAATTTTTGAATTAAAATATTGCGATTAAATTCCAAATATACTTTCGAATGGGTTTACTTTTAATAAATATTACTTTAAATTTATTTCTTAACTTTAGAGTATCACAAATTCTCTTTTATTTAGTTTAAGAAATATTATTATAGAATTATAAATTTTTGTATCAACGCTCTATAACAATCAAAATCAAATTAAATCGCAATTTATTATTTCAAAATGCCAAAATGAAAACATTTGTAGAAATCTTATTTTCTATCTCATCATTGCTTTTTCTTTGTTTAAATTATTTCAATTAATTATAACACTCAAATATAATTTCTAAAAAAGGACCTACTAAACTAAAAATTAGCAATCCAATCTAAGCAAATCCAATATATATTTGTTAATTTAAAGTTAAATAGATTTAAAAATTATCATTATATGAGATGTTTAATAGTGAGAAAATTGTTATTGGAATTTCATTTGATAAAATAGTTAATAATTCAATTTTATTAATTTTAATTTTAGGTTTAAACCCTAAAATCAAAATGATATAAGTAGTATTAACTAATGATATTAGTAGACTTTAAAGTATATAATGAGATTGAAATTATGTTAAAAGAAAATGAAAAGATAATTATTTAAATAAAATTAACTTTTCATGTTATAATTGAAAAAGTTATGTTATTTTTATCATCTTATGTTTTCTAAAGTCAAAAAGCAAAATCAAAATTATGTTCCCTAAATACACAAAAAAAATTAATAAGGAAACTTTTTATCGAATTTCAGACTTTGTATTGGAAATAAAAAATACACCAACTTTAAACATTAAGTCTTAACTATTTGCACAAATGAATTTAATAAAAGTTTCTTTATTGATGATCCTTTTAATTTCTAAGTTCTTTCTTTTATATTGATATAGATAAATGAAAAGAGATTTTACAATTTTAGATCTAAGTTTTTGAATAAAATTGAAAACTTTTTTTAAAGAAATGAGTTTTGAAATATATTTTTCATATATATAGAGAAATAAACAAAAGGTACATCCCACAAAAATTTAGAATATGATTATCATAAACCTAGTGATATCATATAGCAATTAGTAGGTGGTACTATTCTAAGCATTATAATGAAAATCTTAATGTTGCATAACTATCAATATTGCTCAGAAAATCAGCATTTATTTAATATTCTTTAAACTTACCTGCACTCTCTTAAAATTATTTTGAAAATATATATGAAGATAAATCTGGAAAGTTTAAATAATTCAATAATGGTTGCAAAGTAATGAAATTAGAAGATTCAAAATAAATATTGACGTTTTAAGGATATTCTACATTTAAGTATTTTAGAAATTACTATTATTAAAGTATGTCTAATAATGAAATTATTTGTGAAAATCTCCCTAGAAGCAACATTAAAAAGCCACTACAACTCAAACTAATCATTAAATTTGTGAGGATTATTTATTTAGTAGTAGAAGTAAATTTAGAACTCATATTGAATATTCTTATATTCATTTTGAGAGATAGGAACTATTGGATTGCAATTTATAAAATATTCATCAGATGACAAGTCATTAATTTTAAAAGAATTGTTAGCAGGAAAATTATCTATTCTAGAATTGTTGCCAAGCATAACTTTTTTAGATAATTTCAATTGAATATATTAGAAATACTTTGTCTAATTCAAATATTCAAGAAACACTTATGTAGATGAAAAACACTAATTGGCTTATGTCTCCTTACTAAAACAATTCCAATTCTATTCAATTTTACAATCATTTGAACATCCATCATTATTTATAGAATTACCATCATCACAATCTTCAAGAGATTCTATAATTCCATTTCCACATTCAATTTCATAACATAATCCTCTAAGTAGTATATAATTCGACCAACACAATAAACACTCACCTTAAACACATTCTTAGCATCCTTTAGAACAATCATTAGAATTTATAATACCCTTATCTTCTGAAATAAATTTGAAGCATTTTCCATCAATTTCCAATTCATCAAATAGACAAATATCTTTACATTATCCATAATAGCATTTCTTACATCTAGTATCACATTCTAATTAACAATTATAGCAACCATCATATTAAATTTAATTGCCATCATCACATTCTTCTAAACTTGGTTCTATATAACTATCACCGCATATAGGATGACATATATTTTCTATGGAATGGAAATGTTCTAAACATAATTAACATTTATTTTTGTAATTGCATATTTCACAATAAGGACATTCAGCCTAACATTAATAACATCCATCTCCATCTTATTAATTACCATCATCACATTATTCTGTATAAACAGTGATTCCATCTCCACAATTTGGTTTGCAATAATTATCAATAAGATCCCATCCTTCTATACATCTTAAACATTTTTGATCAACACAATTTGTGCATTCTAATTGACAACTTAATTAACATTAATAGCAACCATCAAATTAAATTACATTTCCATCATCACATACTTCAAAGTCTACTATCATACCATCATTACAAACAGATATACACTATTATTTACTCTTAGATAATTAAAATCCCTGTTTACATTCAAGACAAATATTCCAAGATTAATTTTTACATTATGATATATTTTTCACTTTACATTAGTTGTAAAATAAATCCAAAAATTCCATATTACAAAAGATTACAATCTAAAAATTAATTTTAAAAGTATTTTAAATTATCTTAATTGAATATTGTATGCTAGTAATAGCCATTTACTTCAAAATTATCTACATAATAAAAACATCCTGTGTATTATAAAACAGAAGTCATTTTAAATTAATCACATACAAATAGACACAATCCATTAATTAAATTTTATGGTTACTCACATTCAATACATTTTCCTTTGATACAATTCTTACAAAATAATGGACAAGAATATTAACATTAATAACATCCATCATATGGAATAAGATTACCATCATCACATAATTCATTTTAGACAATTTTTTAATCTCCACATATGGGTGAGCATTTCTGATCTTATTCTATATATTGCCAACCATCTTAACAATGTAAACATTCATTTCTAACACAAAAAGCACAACCTTCAACAAATTTAGTTATATCTAATTAACAGCCTTCAAAAGGTAATCCTTAATCTATATAAATTTATTTTTTTTAAGTGATGAATAATTCAAAATCTGGGCTCCCAAAAAAAGGAGTACCCTCTGTTACTTGATATTATGGCATAACTATATCAATACGAATTTAAATTTTTGGATTTGTATGTACTAAGTCTGTTATTTTTACATCAAGAATTTATATATGATTGCAATAAGATCTTGTAAAAATTATTCGTTGTGACAATTTCTATGTTGTAGTTACTTATTGATCATCAATTTTTACTGTAAGAATTGGATTATTGGCATTTGTTACTAAGAATCTCATTTTTTGAACTAATTTTAATATGGGATTCTAAATCAATTTCTATTTCCATATATGTACCCGCTGTCCAATAATACCGATAATCTAATTAGCAATATCAATTACCCATACATGAAGTGTTTGTCGTTAAATTATCAATTGTGATCCATTATTTAGTTATAGGTACTAATTTTAAATCTAAGCATTGACTCTAATTACATGCATCACATCCTGGAGGACATTCATAAATAACTAATTCAAAATTTGAAATTCCCCAATAAGATCCTTCGCCTTTTGTAATAACTTATAAAGATGGATTTGTATGTTGAAAAGTTAAAGAGATATCTGTTATTGAATCACTAATTGTATCTTGACAAATGTTTGTAGTAGAATCAGAGTCAGAATAATATCTTGAATATTATTTTTCTTAATCAGCATATACTTCAAAGAGTTTATCATTCCAAGTGTCAATTCTAAATTATATAATCAATTAATACCTCCAAAATTTGAAAGTAAGGGTGACTTAATAATGAGGTTCAAGTTTAAATGTCTTAGTAAGAAAAGAATTATCAATTCTTGAAAAGTTGTCAACACATAAAACATTTTATGTACCACAAGTAATGACAATAATTAGACTAAAATCATAATTATATACAGACCAATCTATATATCAAAAACCAAATTACCTTGATCTTAAAATAGAAAGTCACCTGATAATTTAGAATACACTACTTTTCTATTTATTATACTTACTATCATGGTTAAGATAATAATTGTTTTGATTAAACTTGCATTGTTTATGTAAGAACAAGTTATGAAGATTGCCATTAATTAAAAAATTTATAATTATTTTTGATAGAATTCAAAGTTTTCAATAAAAGTAATAGGTGTTCTACTTAAATATGAAATAATATTTTTAGTATAATCTCAAAAAATATTTGTTAGCGTTAGAAACACTGCATAGTATCATTATAATTTGATAACAATATTGACATAAGAAATAGGTTTCTAATATTTAATATATTAATTCATTAATCAATAATATAACTATTTTATAATTAAACAATATTAATTCTTTTTAAATCATAATGTATATGTAATTAAGAAGCATTTTTGTTATAATCTAAATAATTCTTACTGATCTTTTCATTGAAAGTCAGATATAAGCAATAAACAAATTAATATTGAATGTCATATATACTTTAAAATTATTCAGAACTGTAAATATTGTATTTAATCAGTGATATTTAAAAAAAAATTCTATGATTAAATTGATTGCTGATATCACGTCCAAATTACAATATAATTTAATTACATAGAAGAATGGAGAAATAAATATAATTTATCAGATTTATTTTATTCATATTTTTGAGTTTTTTACATAAAAAATTAGATTAATATCTCCTACTTATAATATAAGCTTACAAAAATATAAATTAAAACAACAACCTTATAATTATTTTATTTAATTAAAAAATTAAACTAGAAATAGTTGGAAAAATTAAACTGTTTTACTACAATAGATAATCAATATTATCTATGATCGCTCATAAAAATAGATTATAAATTGTAGGACTTTTGGTAGATTAAGTATTCTCTAGATAAAAAGTATAAAAAAAAGTTTCTCCTTCTTCCTTTTGGATAACCATATACATAAAAATTTTGTAAGCTAGAGTTCATGAAATAAATAAATTAGAAGGAGTTTTCAAAATGTTGAACGGTATCGAAAATAACTATTTATTAAAAACTCATTAATCATTCATCTGTATTATTAATAAAACAAATAAATTAAGGTTGAATAATTATTAAAAGATTCATAAAAAATGGTCTTTCATGATTAAAAGATCAATTTTTTATAATAAATAATCTCTAATCTAACGTATCTTTCCACCTTTTAGTTATAATTATTTTCTATCTCAACATATATAAAGTTTTTTTTATTTTAATAAACGAAAAAGAAACATGACAAAGAGAAAAACAATACTAAAATATAAAAATTAGAATTACTCTAAATTGGAAAATAGAAAATAAATTGCATCAGCTATATATAGCACGTCCTTCTCGGGCAAATAGACGAAGAGCTTCAAGAATTCGAACTCAATGCAGAGGCTTGAAATCTGGAGGGATTCTAAGAGATTGGGTATACTTGAGACCAATATAAAACAGTATAGGTATTATGTACCACCTTTGATAAAGTGGACTGATGAACTATATAAAACCATCAAAAATAAATCAATTTTAAACAAGTAAATTGCTAAAATAATATAACAAAAACTAATCTAAAGGTAGTGTAAAAACAACTTTTAATAAGAAAATATTATAACCAAGAGAACAAAAAGCATTATCACTCTTTTATAAATAGTCATACTATAAAAATGTTAAATTTTTCAATATAATTATTGTATTATTCAATTATCATATATCATTTCTTTTATTTTAATAAAGCCTTCTTCTATTTTGTTCCAGTCTCGATATTATTGGCTCCATTTTCCAACTTTTTTACCTTTCTTATATTCACCATCATCTATTATTTCAGAAGTCCATTAAAATCCATTATTTATTTCCACCCAATAACCATCCTTTATCCCGTCACTATTATATTATCCGCCACCTCTAAAAATGAATTATAATTCATAAATATAGATGAAACTTCTTACATCAATTTAAACTCACTTTCATCATAATACCTATACAACAAATCCCATTTTCCAACTTTTTTAGCGTTTTTATATTCACCATTGTATGTAACTTAAGATAAAATTTGAAATTCATCCCACAATTCCACCCAATTACCCAATTTAATCCCATAGCCTTCTTCATCATAAGTTCCGCCACCACTAAAACAGAAACACTTTATTATTTTATTACATTATCTAATTTTCTAAAAAATTAAACCAAATATCCCATCTACCGCATTTTTTATTATTTAGATATTAACCTTAATACATTACTTAAGTGTAAGATGTAAATTCATCAGAAATTTCCAACCAATTACCAACCTTAATTTCTGTACCACTTTCTTCATATAATCCACCTCCACTAAAAACAAGCATTAACTAGAATATTTTTTACATCGTTTTATTTCCTTCTGAATCACTATAACATATATTCCATCTCCCAACCTTTTTACCAAGTTTATATTCACCAACCTAAGTTACTTAAGAATACACGTAAAACCCATCAGATACTTCCACCCACTTACCTAACTTCATTCCATCTCCTCCATCATCATAAAATCCACCACCACTAAATACAGACATTAATATATATATATCTATTTTCTTACATTTATTTAATATTTTCCTCATTATTCCAAAATATTCCCCATTTACCAACTTTTTTATTATTTTTATATTCACCATTATATGTTATCCCAGGATACCTTGGAAATTTGTCTGATACTTCCACCCACTTACCAACCTTCATTCCATCCCCTCTGCCATCATAAAATCCACCACCGCTAAAGAAAGAAAGATTAACTACATATGTACTTTCTTACATCTTTTAATTTACTTATCCATCATTTTTCTTAGTATCCCATTTGTTGATCTTTTTACCATTTTTATAAACACCATGATACATTAGTTAAAAAAAATTGGTATATTGATCAGAAACTTCTATCCAATTACCTACCTTAATTTCAGTACCACTTTTTTCATATAATCCACCACCACTAATAAGCATATGAGTATACAATATTTTTACATCTTTTTATTTCCTTCGGAATTACTATGCCAAATATCCCATTTACCGACCTTTTTACCGAGTTTATATTCACCAATATTTGTTACTTAAGATAAAAGTTCAAATTTATCTGAAACCTCTACCCAATAACCTTATTTAAATCCATGGCCTTCTTTATCATAACATCCACCACCACTACAAATTTTACTACATAATATATATTTACATTTTCCTACTCTCATTCCAATTAAGCCAAATATCCCAATTACCAACTTTGTTACCATAGCGATATTCACCAGAATATGTCACTTAAGATTAATCCCAAAATCCTTCTCCTAAAACAATCCATTTCCCATTCCTTTATCCTTACTTGTTGTATAAACCACCTCCACTAAATATTCTGGCTATAATTATACATTTAGTTTTATTTATAATAATATAACCATCTTCCAACCTTTTCATTGTGAAAATATTCTCCACTTTCATATACTTGAGCTTTGCTATTTTTTTTAACTTATTTATTTTTACGTTCTGTAATCCTTAATAGGTTCAGTCCATAAACCTTCCTTTAATCCTTCCTAGTAGTATCCACCAACTTCTAAAAGAGCTTCCCCATTCCAAGTGGCTGTCCATTAACCTTATTTTTTCTGATTTTTTCCAAATTGGCCCCACCATCGTAAATGTAGGATCTGTTCCAAATTATGAAAAATTTCTGGATTGAAATTGTCATTTATCAATTCTCTTTTTTAAAACTAATAAATAATGAAATACTTTCTTAAAATTATTCCTTCTTATGATTAATAAATGATATAATTATCATTTGTAATTAAAATCTAAATTTTTTCTTTAACATGCTACAGGCTGGTTTCATTCCACTTTTATAAATCAACACTTATGGTTTCTTGGTGTAAGATTGTTGGCTCTTGAAAATTCCTTTTATTTTAGAATAATTGGGTCATCTTTCCAATATATTAATTTTTTATTTAACTATAAACAAAAATCGGTATTTTGATTAATAAACTTTAGTTGAAATGAATAAACATAAATAAGAACCAGATATTGCTCCATAAATTGTGTTAAGATTTCAATTTAAACATAACAATTGAATTCATTTAATGTTTCTCATCAAATTTATATGCTTTCTTTAATATTTACAAATTCCAAACCGTTTAAATCCGTATTGCCTAACTCATAGTAAATATTTAATTTTATATCTAAAATCCAATTAAGATAATATGTATTATGAGTTGTTTCCATAATCTTAAATATTAATCTTGATGTTTCAATTTAGACCATCAATAAATTATTTTTCTATATATAGCTTGACATAAAATTATTTCAAGATTTTTATCTGATTACTTTTGTGGGAAAATTCTGGTGATAAAAAATAATTGAGAAAAAAAAAGTAATACCCCCCCCTTTAAAAATATCATGAGATAGATTAAATATGTTTACTTTACTTAAAGTCTAACTATATACAGATATGCAAATATGTATCTACTTTTTAACATCTGTCCTCTATTTAGCAAACTTTTTCAAAATACACAATTCGGATATTTCTATAATTATTGAAATCTGATAATTAATTTTAATCATATATTAATCGATTAGAGTCTCTGAAATTTTTTAAACGCAATCCTGATTATTTAAAATTATTAAAAAATACCTTTAAATTCTTTAAAGTTGTAATTTCATTTTGATTAATATAGATGTTTTCTTATTACCAAATGAAAAATACAAAAATACATTAATATAAATAATAAATATAATGAATGATTTATGTAAAGATCATCTAATTAGATGGTGACCCATATATGCACATACAATCATGATTGTTAAAAAAGATTATGTGATTTTTGCTTGATGTTCCATTTGAATATTTACTAACGATTGATGAATTAAATTTTAGGATTTAAAGATTTTTGGAGTAAAACATGGTGAATACAACTAAATTTTGGAACAGGAGAGATGTTAGATGTATAAATTTTGAAATATTATAAAGGCAGGAAATTATGGATTCAATAAAAAAATAGATATTTGGAAATTTCAAGGGCAGCATGAAATTATAAATTATTTACAATAAACTATAATTGAAGTTAATTTTTTTGATGAGATTGGTATTAAATTATTTAAGAAAACAATTAAATTTATAAGATGTATTAATATAACCAAATAACTTAGAGAATATATAGATAATGAAATAACGTTAAACATCAAATAAATAAAGTCTTTAAGCTGGAAGGGAAACGATGATCTATTAGTATGGAATACTAAATGTAAAGGATAAGATGTAGGAATAGGTTGATTAAAGACTATAAGATTGGGATATGGATAGAATCATTAATTCAATTTTCTAAGTGCACTATTCCTCATTTGATTATTTAGTCCTTGCTAAACTGAATACAAAAAAGGATAGAGATTTTGAAAATGGGATATTCTTTTTAAAAAAAATACATGAAAGAGATTAAAATAATTTAATAATGGTCAATAATATACAAAATAGAGCAGAATTGTATAATGATCATGGTATGAGAGAAGGACTTATGGAAGAATTATTTGATAATTTATCATGTATATTACTAATATTTATCTTTTAGTAATAATTAGGTAATTTAAGTTCAAGAATATATATAAGGATTGAAAATAGGGAAATGATCAGTTCTATTTAGAGGAATATTCAAATGTGTAAAATATTGAGTTTTATTATAGAGTGGTATATAAAGGTAGAGTAAATAAGAATCTGGTCATCCAATACTTGCCCATAAATTGAATATATCTTTTTATGATTAAGCCTAGCTTTAATATCATTATTTAAGGATCGATCTCATGATATAATTTATTTTCTTATCCTATTTATTACAATCATTTTAATTTTATTTAAAATTATCTCCGAAAATAAACCCTGCCCACCTTTATTAGATTTAATAGAGTTTAATCTGCTTTAAATCTAATGAATCCTAAAATTGAAATATTATTATTCTTACAAATAATATAAATTAAAATATAATCATGTATCATGAAAGGGTGATGTAATTTGTTCTAAATCGTTTATATGAAGCATACTAGGCCTATTACGAGTATAGTTTTCTTCGATCTTTTCTCTCATAGGCTAATGTAAAGTTTCTCTTAATGGAAACAATAGTAAAGCGCATAAAACACAAATGATCCCAAAAGCAACAATGAGATGAAAATTGAGATATGAGAAAAAATTAATAAAATATACTTAAGCTTTACTGCCAAAAGATCCATCTACTGATATTAAAGATAAGGCTAAATATCTAACAAAAATAGTTCAGGCACATAAATATAACCCAAAACCCAAATTGCTCATATTAGAAATCTCATTAACTATTAGAATTATATTTTAAATATACTCCAGCCAAAATACCTTCGAAGATTCGAAATACTTAGAAAAGGAAATATAAGCTCATAAATCCTATGAAGAAGAACCCACTTATAATATTTGTTTTTCTTTTCAAATTTGTAATTAAAAAATCGAAAAATAGGTAGATAGATTACCTAAAATAGCAAAAGCTAAGAATTCAAATAAAGTAATAAGGAAATTAGTAGTGAAGAAATTGAGACCTAACTAATCACTGAAAAAACTAATTCCATAATATGTCACCTTTATTGCAAAAAAATCATTACTCCAGCAAAAAATACATTTGGTGTTAACAATAATTCTAAACAAATTATGAAGTTTGTTTAATAAAAAGTTTTTTGAAACCTTTCAAAAAAAAAACTATTTACCCATCTAAAAAGATAAACTTATTCTAGAATTTAAACTTTTATTAAAGTTGAATTCAAAATCTCTTTTTGAATTTTAAATTATTTTTAATTTAAAAAATTAATATTCATAAATTCTATTTCTTTAATGAGATTAAAAAATGAAATTTGTAAATAATTTAAAATGATCTTTTTGAGTAAGTAATTCCTTAATGATTTATATTTTCAATAAATCCAAAATAGAATATACCCTGATATTGTTCTCTTTAGTTGATTGATTAGTTACTAAATCATCTATTTTGATTTATTAAGTCCCATTTAATTTTGCAAATTAATTTAGAATCTTTACATATATTTTCTTTGTGTAAAAATTATAATATTCAAAAATCAAAAGGTTACCAATATTTAGTAACACAGATAGTATTGCAACTGAAACTGCTAACCATCTACAATAAATAATAAAATATGATAATGCTATTATAGCAAATTCACCATTTGCAAAAAACACTTAGATACCAAGATTTTAGGCTTCTCTAAAATTATCCTCTATATAAAATCTTTGATATAATTAAATTAAAATAATTTTCATTAATTAATGAGTAATGAACAGTAATTGTTGGATTACCTCCAAAACCTAAGAAGAAAATTTCTATAGCTATCATTTAATAATTCATAGCGAACTTAAAGATTATTCATATAGAATAAAAGCATCGAAAGCTGTATTTAATGATTCACCAATAACAAATTCTCGACCTGATGAATCATCCTAAATTATTAAAATCGTTTACAAAAACTTAAGCTAAACATTTAAGAAAACTAATTTAGACATTCAGTATTGGACTGAAAATCTATTGTAACCTGGTTATTAGCCTGTACAATCCAAATATTAAGAAAGCTCTTTTTTAATATAACCCTGCTCCACCTACTTATGTTAATGCCTCATTATAAATTAATTATTTTGATTCTGTGAAGGTTTATTCTTGATATACTCACATTCCTATGATATTTATTTTAAATAAATTATTTTTAGGTCTTAATGAACAAATCTATTAAAATATAATATATTTTCAATTGGCATCATTTCAATAAGGGCAATCATTTAGTTTAAATATTTAAGAAATTACTTATTTTTAAATTCAAAAGACTAACAAGAGAAATATAAGAATTAAGAAAAAATCTAACAAAGTCAATATTTATACACATATGCCATTTATATTTAGTATTCTTATTATCAATTAGGAAATGAATATCTGATTTTTGTTTGTATTAAATGATGTTAATAATATAGCTTTTGGTAAAGGTATGAATCTATAATAATACTACAAATCGTTAACTTAAAATATAATTATTTCTAAAATAAATAAATTCTTGTCATCTTCTTTATTTCATTTATGAGAAAAGGTAAAAATTGATTAAAAGATATTTAGGTCACCTCATATGAAAATGGGAGATTTAAAATCAATTTAACTTATGAAATGCAAAAATGACGATTTTACATTGAAATAAACTGGTGAATAAATTTCTTATGAATACTTCTAGAGCCATTACTAAATAATTAATACTAATGTAACTATTTAAAATTATATTTATATTTGATAACACTAAAAATCAAATTAGTTTATAATTGAAGCTAATTTTATACTATATATTAGGGTTGATCAATAGAATATGATAATTACATATCTTTTTCAAATATATAAGACTTCAAAGTTTAAAAAAGATTTACAATAGATTCTTTAATACTTAAAAATCAATATCCAAAATATTCAAATATATAATGATGTTTGTTCAAATGATCAAAACTTGTGATGAATTGTTAAAATTATAAGAAAAATAATATTCTAACAAATATAAAATATCTATTTAAATGGGTTTTAATTTCAATATTAAATTACGAATAAATAATAAAATCCATTCAGAGAAAATTAACATTGTATAGGACCAAAAGATTATTATTAAATTCAAAATCATTAGATTCTATCTCTTGTAAATAAATGTTATTAATAAATATTTTAGTAATAATTTTCTAAATATATCCTTAAGATTTTATTTACTTATTTGCCTATCCACCTTGACTTCCTTATTTAATATAAGGGATGAGTATAATTCGAGAATATTATTTATGAAATATTAGTGAGATATCGAAAAGATTAGTTGAAGTTCGTAAGTGATAGACAGAATAACTTTGATTTAAAATATAAGAACAAATAATAAAGAGAAAATGTGAGAATTTACCTAAATTAAAAAAGATAATTTACACAATTATAAAGGAAAGTTTTCTGTTCTGATATCTAATAATATATGTAAAGATATTTAAATGATGTTTAAATAACTTAAAACATACTATCCAATTAAAATTCTTTTTATGATGAAATATATGTCAGATTATGATGCAAATATCAGTGAAATGGCTGTTTATTTTAAGAAATAAACAATAAATAAATGTAGTATCTCAATTAAAATAGAGTATTAATTCTTATTCAATTCGTAAATTAGAAGAAAACATTTTAATCAGAGAAATAACATATTTATGTAAACCTAAAATTTTTTAGAATTCATATTTTATAGATTTTAACAGAACTACCACAATATAATTTCTTAAAATTAATTTGAAAAATTAAATAGTATTTTTTTAATTTGAGAATTAAAAATTAATGAATTAAACATTGCTAACCCTACAAAATCCGCCTAAAAAGATTTGTGTCAGATGTAATTAAGAAATTGATGGAATTATTTGTTGGAAGGTTTTTAAATGGGCAGCAATTAGATTTAGTATTTTAACAGTTATCTGTATCCCAGGTCTATTTTTTTTGCAATATGAAATTGGTATAATATGGGCATCTGGAATAGGAATTTGGGCATTATTTTTTTTCTTGGTTATGTTATGTTCATGTCATTCACAAACACCAGGACCTGGATTGGAAAGGGAATTAAGGGAATAAAGAGAGATATAAGAAATGATGTGGGAAAAATAGGAGAAAGAATTCGAAAAAAGACAAAAAAAGATCAATAAAGAAAATAATATATAATGGAATGATTGATGATGAGGATAAATATATTATATGATATTGATTGATAATCATTTCATGATAAAAATTCTAATTGTTTATTCTCAAACTCTTACCTCTTCTTTATAAGGTAAAAAATTAAAATATAGAATATATTTTATAGAATGCATAATGAATAACAATAATGTTTTTAATATAATAAAAAATTAAAGGATTATTATTTAGTGATATATTTGCAACTTATTATAATAAAAGTGCATTATCCTGTCAATAAATAGGTTAGAAAATGAGTATAAAAATAAAGAATCATAAATTTTATATTGAATCTATAAATAATGTTAGTTACTAAAAATTTATAAATCTTTCAAAAACTTTTATCTTTTTTTTACATTATCTTATTCGTTATCATAAAATCTTTAAAAGTAAATTTAAAGTAGATTTCTTTTGTTAAATCAATCAATTATTAATAGAAAATCGCTAATATAATGAAATAATTAAATAATTAAATAGTAAGTAATATTTATTCATATTTTATTTTTTAATATATATATATATAATGCATATTTAGAATAAGGTTAAACAATCTTGAATTTTCTAGATCTCTTAACTTTTTTTCAAATAGTGACCAAGTAAAAATTATATTAATTATATTT